AGATCTAACTCCCTAGGGGCCTGCAGGCAGAACAACCAATCGACGCCGCGATACGCGGCGCTTAAAGTTTAAATTAGATCTAACTCCCTAGGGGCCTGCAGGCAGAACAACCAATCGGCGCCGCGATACGCGGCGCTTAAAGTTTAAATTAGATCTAACTCCCTGGGGGCCTGCTGGCAGAACAATCAATCAGCGCCGCAATACGCGGCGCTTAAAATTTAAATCCAACTAAATTAAATCCAACTTTCACGGGCCTGCAGAATAACAAATCGGCGCCACGGTACGTGATAACAATATTTTAAATTACATGAGCCAGAAGTATTGGAATAAACTATTGTTAAACAAGAACGGTATCATAGTAACTCATCAAATAACATGAATTGTTTTTCAATGCGAAGTTCACAGCATTCATGTAAATTATAAACGAGCATTCTTAACAATTACATTATATTTTATTACATTATACGATGTGTTTGATATTATCCTGTGCGTATATGAACATTTGCGCACAGCAACTCCAAATACTTGTTTTTTTTCAACAATAACTATGAATAAACATATACTGCTGACAATTAATGATAGTAATACAACGCCGTGCGGTAGAGTGCGTTGACCAATCAGAAGGTTGCCGCAAAGTCGCCTGCGGCAAAATCAAAATTTGTGATTGGTCAACGCACTCTGCCGCATGGCGTTTCCGCGTCTATAAAGTCTTAGCAGTAGAAAACTGATTGGTCCATATACATGTGATGAGAAAATAGACCAATCAATTTTCTTATGCTTACGCCGTATGCGTTGTGCAGAAGTGTGTGCTCCCCGCTCTCCGCGTTGCGAACCGACGTATGCGCACCTGAGATTCCCGGAGCACTTTGGTGCCTTGGCGGGGGGCATAAAAAATAGCGGCACGCGAGTCGCAACTCGCAACTGTTTTGTGCCCAGTGGTTTAGTGCTCAGCTAGAATGTGCTCGCGCGCTCAACCTGCTTCTGTGGGGGATTATCGACGAATGGGGCGAGGGCGAGAGTAAAAATTGGAACGGGAACGGCCGCGAACGAGCCGTGCAAACGGTTTTGTATTTATATTTCGTGCGTGAAGTTAGTAATCCGCGATCGGGTCATGGCGTATGTTAATGTAGCCGAGTGGAAGCCGGACCAGGTGTGCGAATGGCTGAAAGGTATGTGCCTCGTCGGCGTTGACAGGACACGACGCTCAGTGCGCCGCGATCACCCATGGAGAAACGGCTTGTGTCCTCGCGCGCGAGGACATGTCGGGATCCTCGGAATTCCATTCAATTTCGCGTGTGAAGCACGGTGAAGCTGCGTTCCTTCCCTTCCTCCCCCGCCTGTCTCTTCTGTGTCACGTATATGCCCGCCTTCGTTCCCACATCCACTTTGTTGTATTTATTCTTTGGTGTGTCACGTCGTTAAAACGCACCATTTATTCGTCTATTTAATCGCATTCGATCGCATATCGCGTCTATTCATTCATTCTTGTATGATTTTCTGCGCCTTCAATAAAATCTGACGTCAAGCCCGTAAGCGTTTTATTAATGATACCACGTAATGTCACTTAAATAAAAATACTTGAAAATTCTTTTTGCTGTGGTTCAGAATTTATATTAGTATTTTTTTGCTATATGTTTTCTCTAAGGTGATCCTAGCCGGTTTTTTTCGGTTTTTTTCTTAGCACTAATCTTTTAATTGGCTTTATAGAAATGCAAAATTCTTGTCTAGAATTAAAGTACGCATCAAAATCTAGGTCATGGTGGTCGAATTTATATGTGGTAGTCGTCACGTATAACAAAAAATATTAATTTTTTTTCATTTTCGATATAAATTCGACCACCATGACCTAGATTTTGATGCGTACTTTAATTCTAGACCAGAATTTTGCATTTCTATAAAGCCAATTAAAAGATTAGTGCTAAGAAAAAAACCGGCTAGAATCACGGCTTTAGGATCACCTTAACTGGTAAATATTTTGTTTAATATACAATGTTGCTCCGTAACGACGCTTGATACATTATCTGTTTTTATATCTTTATTTTATTTGTATTTCATTTGACAGATGTCTTTTTTTCATTGGCTTTAGAAATATTAATATTACACAAGGCAGCGGGTGTAAAAATCGTACGTAATGGTTACATACATTTCTTGTTTTATTTTTTACGTTTATTCATGCACTTTAACAGAATAAAATGAACGTGCTTCTCCAATACCTTGCACGTAAAATGCTTGAGATACGTAACGTTTCGAGCAGGAATGTTGTGTCATCAGTTTATTTTTTTCTTTTTTTCCTATGTCGTAGGTTTGGATAGCACTGTACTTCCGTATATCCATAGTTTCCTAAATCATGGCGTTTACGGACAACAGTTGTTGAACTTACAATTGTCAGATTTGGAAAGTTTGGGGGTAGTAAAGCTTGGTCATCAAGAAATCATTCTTGAGGCTGTGGAATATCTTAGAAGATTTCATTATGAGCTGGACCAAGAGAATCTGCAACTGCTGGCATTGCGACTTTCAACCCAGGCTCATAGCTTGTACAAGGAATTGTTTCGTCAGAACGATTCGGAGCCTGTTACCACTCAAACGTTATCGGATGTAGCGTCAATTATGATGGTGGTCAAACCTTTAGTGAGATGGATGGACTATCCTCCGTTCAATGGACACATAGAATATCATGGCAAGAAGGTTGAATTAATGAAGATATCTGTAGAAATGGCTACGTGCGCGCAAAGAGATAGATTTGCCGAGAAGCCAGTCGAAGAAATTAGAACAGCTTGTAATAAACTTGCCAAATTAGCGGATTATATTATTCAAGATATCACTGATCCTATAATACTGCAGCCTGCAAGTTTAGATCTGGCAACGTTAAAGAAGAAGTCTAGCGACGATTTGGTAGGTTTCCAACTGCTGTGGTATGCATTACGCACGCGTAAACATTTTATTTTATAGAGAGCAAGTTGAATATTTCAAAAATTATTACGTACGCTAAAGATGTATGTAAAAGACTCTTCCTTGTTTATGACGTTTACTAGCGAGTTACATTTTTTATTTATTTTTTACTGTTTTACGTTTATTTCCGAAATATTCTTATATTATTTATCGAGTGCCTATCGTTGTTCTGAAATGACACGATCATCGTGTCCTGCCGTGATAAAACTCTCAACAAGCCATAATATTGTGCGTGCCGCTTCCTGTTCAGATAACACATTTCCTTTATAACCCCTTACGAATAACCTTAATATTTTTGTTGACGTACGTTTTGCAGATATATTATACAAAATACTATTTATTTATACGTCGTGAAATATTATCTTCTAGGGTTTTTACATTTTACCATCTTTTCACGGAGTGCATCAGATAACTGAAATCAAACTTGGATCCGCCGCATATCAATCTGGCAAAATGCAGGAAGGAGATGAGATAGTTCAAGTAATATCTTATTTACATACTGTTTTTATATATCATAAATTTTGACAACGTATTTAATCTCTAATATGTACATGTATAAATCTACTAGGTAAATTATCAAACGGTGATTGGTTGGGAGAGAAAGAATTTGCTTGAATTATTTCGTGAAAGCCCAGCGGAAATCCTCTTGACTATGAAACGTAGACCAAAGCATGCTAAAATTTATGGGCAAATTTACATACAACCGTATAAACTTCCAAGTAACAAAAATACCTCTTACACAGCACAAGGGCGTAGTCTTCCATCCCCTAGACCAGAATTATTAACAATACCTGACTTTGCAATGCCATCACCTAGGTAAGCTACCTCTCTCCGTACCTGTATCTTTTTTGTGGTCCTGCAAACACTTTTCTAAAATCTCGCAACATGTATGACGCATGTCGTACATATTACGTGTTGCCAATATACACATGGTATATTTTTCATATATACTATATAGTATAAATATATAAAACATCTCCATCTTGAATTTAATCACGAAAATTTTACGTGTTGTGTTTAATGAAAGAAAATATCTCGTTACACAGACATATACCAAAGAAAACCAGTCCGGAGCCAGCAAGTATTTTCGATGCGGTTAAAATGTTGGATACAATGACTACGGAGGCGAGCGATTCCGACAGCGAAACAGAACTTTATCTTAAACCGAGAAACTTGGTCCAAAGGCGAGCTACGATAACAGGTGCCAGTCCCACAACCAAACATGGTATCAATATCGAACAGTTTTGGAAGGAGTTGAAACGAGAGCACAACGCGACTGTTCAGTTGCGCGATAAAGCAGCATCTTGCGCCCATGGTTTGGACACGGTGCCAATGGTAAATATACGGCCCCAAACGTGTTTAGGATTAGAATCGGCAAAAAAGAAGAACAAGACTACGGAGCAAACGAATAAAAAAGTGCAATTTAAGGAGAACGTGATCGATGTTAAAAGCACTCGTCCAGATGATGTAAAAGAAAAAGTTACTCCTACGCAAAACTGTGATGACGATGGTGCAAATATAAATAAAGATATTAATATAGAACATTTGCAAGCATTCACGGATAATGTCACTGATAGCAATAATTTAAATGATACACGCGTGCCTTTAGATGAATCTAATACGTCTGTTAGCGATACGTGTAGTATTAATGAAAGCATGCTGAATAACAAAGAACGCAGTATGCGGTACGTTGAGAAATGTAGTAACGTAGATACAACTTGTAGTACTTGTGCATATGATCTATCGGATATTGAGAACGTAGACTTGACTGATCCGTGCTTGCTCAAAATATCAAACAATAATAAAACAAAACCGGACGTTTATAAAGTTGACGAGAATGATGGTCGCAAAAAATTGAAAGATGTAAGTAACGAGCATAAAGAAGCTAGAAGATGCGGTGGTAATGTCGCGCGAAAAATTATCAACATTGAAAAACAAATTGCGCATAAAAATGCACAAGAACAAGCATGTGCCTTTGGAGTGCCTAAAAGTATAGACCTACGTAAAGTCAACATAAATGTCACAATAAATGACGTAAATCTTGAAAATAGCACAGAGGAGAAGAACCAAAATGATCTTGAACATGACGACAAGTATGCTGTCGAAAAACCAAGTACCGAATGTGAGAATGTCGTAATAAACAAATACTCTAAAACTATTGATTTAAAAAATTCGGCACGCGAGTCGCGTGAGAATGCTGCGTGTGGTACCTCAGAAATGTCAAACACTAAAATGGAATGTAGTAATAGTAACGGTACGCACAGTAGTAATAGTAGTAGTAGTAATAGTACTAGTACTAGTAGCAGTAGCAGTCACAATAACAGCAGTAGTAGGAGTAGTAACAGTAGTAGTAGTAGTAGTAGTAGTGACGGTGGTGATGATGATGATGATGACGGTGACGGTGGTAGGGATGGTAGTAAGAGTAATAGCAGCAGTAGTAACAGCAGTAGTAGTAGTAGTAGTAGTATTAGCCACAGCAATAGCATCGAAAGAGACAAAACGCAAAAATTTGATAAAAATTTACAAACAGCTGCGTGTACTTTTACTCAGCATGCAGACGTACTCGATGAAAAGTTTTCCTCAGTGCTATCAAGAGAGACGTGTGCCGAGAAGGTATCGCCAAATAATAATACTAAATTTGAAGACGACCTATCGAATATTACTCGTAATGTTTTAAAGATGCAGATTGACATAAAGCAGCAAACTAAGGAAGCCAAGTCTGCGGCGTCGTCTTCGGTACAGGCCACGATACAGTCCTGTCGTTTGATAGAGTTACCAAAGGTCGAGTCTGTTGAAAAACTTGAGAATAGAGCTCGTGCAACACCCCCAGAACCGCCGCCTCGTAAATATTACGCAAACCAAGCGTCAACTGACTTGAAATTAAACAATGTTCCAAAAATTCTGGAGGATTCGCAAAAACCTCAAGTTCCAGAGAGACTCGGCGTAAAACGAGAATTTAAAAAAGTAGAATCAAGTTCGTGTGTCGTTCATATTAAAAGCACGTCGGATTGTCGAGATAAAAAGGATTCTTCGGGTATGCGTATGCTTAATTACACGGAAAATTCAATGGATCAAATTGGTGACGCACCAACTTCAAGTTTAAGCGATCAAAACGTTGATCGTTTAAACTTGACTGATGCTTCGTTGTATAATGAAAATAATGACGAGCACGCGAGAGAAGAAAAATGTTGTTTTGAAACATCTGTTGAAAAATTCGTTTGCTCGGATCAATCCATAACAGACTGTTATAGGTTTGATCATTCTCCTCGCAATGTCGATTGTCCTGATGGTATAACACACTCGAAACAAACAATACCGTCAGATTTAAAGCCAAGATTATCAGAGAAGGATAAAAATATTGAGAAAAGTGTTGTTAATAGAGCTATGATGGTAGCTAAAAGTATCGGCTTACATAGTAGTTTAAATAAATCTAATAGCAGTCCAAGAAGCACGAGGAAACGGAATATGTTACTGGCAAGTAAGTACACGTGAATAATTTTTCTTTTTACACGATACTCGAGACGTTTGTTCTCTCATAGCGGTTATACGAGGTTTTGACACGTTCGTGCAATCTAAATTTATTTAATCATGTTGAGTTATGAGAGAGGTGTGACATTATTTTCAAAACCATCTACATATGTCTCGACGTGAATCGGAATATAAAAAAAAAATATACGAAGAAAATATACCGTTTTCTTGTCTAGAAAGAAGAAATGTATCCGTAAGAGATGTTGGTGCTGGCGATTTAGAAGGATGGCTGACATATCGTAGTAGAGGAGCAGGTGGCGCGTGGGCAAAGGCCTGGTTTGTATTAAAGTGTTCATCGTTGTACAGGTAAACGTGTATAAAACATATATTACGACGAATGACGCGCGCGCGCACAACTGATTAAATACACGAATTTTTATCTTTACACGTTATTAGATTTAAAACACAGGACGGTATAAAGGCTGACTGCTTGATCCTATTAACGGGTTTTACCGTCGCGCCGGCTAGCGAAGTAAAATCGAGGAAGTATTCCTTCAAAGTATATCATACGGGAACAGCGTTTTATTTTGCCGCTGATACCGAAGACACGTTGATTCTGTGGCTGGATGCAGTTGGTAAAGGCACTTTAGGTGCGGACACTCTGAACCAAAGTGTCGGGCTTTTTAGCGAAACCGATGAGAGCGATAACGAAGGTCACAAGAGTAAGCCGAAATGTGTCTCGGAATCTTCGAACGTAAGTCTGGAGAACGCGTTTGGCTCTTTGAAAAAATCTGTACGAAGGGATGCCGGATCGTACAAGGATCACGAACGTACTGGTGCAAGCTTGGATCGAAAATATTTGAAATTTCTCAGTGCCAGAAATCAGAATATGCCTGTTCCAACAGCACAATTTAGAAGTTACAGACGGGTGCTTCCTACCTCGACACCAACGAAGTGAGTGTGTATCAAGGGATATTCTACATCGATATGCTCTGCCTACCGTTTAAACATTTTCAAACATTTTACATAGGAAAGAAGTTTGCACGTCAACGTCTCCGGATTTACAAATGACGATCGCTGGTAGTACATTCTATGGCTCGACCACGTCACAGAGTGCTACAGATACGTTGAACAACTCAGACATGAGTGATTATCGGCATGCTACAGACAGGTACGTTTTACACCGTACCTCTTTTCCGTTATCGTAGAAACATTCTTTCGTGATTTGATATCTAGCAACATTTATTGTTTTACATAGATCTGTTGGTACAAGACCGCCCATCGTGCAAGGTTTCGTTACGCAAGAAGAATTTTTGATATCGCAGCAAGATGAGGAGCAACGATCAAGTATGATAAATGACGCGATGTCTCCGCGCGCGACGCCTCTGCTCAGCGATCACGTACACGTACAGCACAGAACGTTGAATGATAACGCGGCGTATACCGAGCAACGTAGACAAACAGGTGACATATCTTTGAATTACACGGCGACGCATTATGGCAAGACCAACGATGAAATACCAAACAACATCATTAATACGTATGTCCACGCGAAGAACACGAACGCACATGTACAGACGCCTCGTCGATCCATCAAGGATCATACGTTTATCATTACCCGATCTGAAAGCGAAGCAAGTTGCGCAAGTGATAAATCTTGCAGCAAATGTATGGCACGCGGACAAAAAAGGATGTGGGACTCGTCAAGTTATGCACAGAAGAGAAGACCGCGGGGACTTGTAAATTCTCAGAAAACGAGACACGATGATTCGTTTCCGTGGAGAAACGCGTCAAGTCCAAGCAAGCAGACGTCTCCGAATCAGAGTGCGGACTACGAACTTGACAGACGTGTACAATCTCCCACGCGCGAAAGCTACAAGATGCGTCAACATCTTTCGAGGAATATCGGTATGTTGGAGGATTTCAAGTACAAACACTTGTTAAAAATGATAGTAATCTTAATATCGCGATGAACGTGTAGTATCTTACGTAATAGTCCTACTGTTTGAAATTAAATCCCATCTCGATTTTCTCGCTTGTAGGCTCGTCTGGATCCAGTAACGATCTCGCGAGTCACGCATCGTCTGAAACGCAGCAGTGCGTAAAGAAAGATGCATCGATTAGTCGGAAGGGGAGCTTCAATCTTACTAATCGTCACGATTACACGTCTTCCGATAAACATTGGCTAGATTCGCTGAGACGCGGCGACAAGAAAGGATCGAGTTGTGACAAAAATCGTCTGAAGAACGTCGCGCAGTATCAACCACCTCCGATACCAACCGCGCCCTTCGAGCAGGATGGAATGCGTGCCACGTTCGAAATGCATTTAGATAAAAGCGATCACGTACAGAAAGCGAGTCGCCTGAAAGTTTTATTCGGTACGAAACAGCAAAAACCCTGTACCTTGGATCTTCCTAAAAATACCCAGAAAACCGTCGTAGGCAAGTAACTTGTATTGAATATAGTTATAGTTATAGTTAATATATTAAACGCAACACACATATGATTTATGTTAAGGCGAGTATGTTTGATTTTCTAGAAGCAGGTTCGCCACGGTTGCACAGAGCGCTATTTTGGGATAAGTGTTGCTCCAATCACGCGCACCATCACGCGTCTACTTGTTCCGGCAGTCAAAGTCCTAGTGGGATCAGTCAGATTCACAGTTCTTTCAACGACGACAAGAGTCCTTCTCAGTTTACTCAAACTTCCAATCCACTTAGTTTGGTCAGTGATTGGAGTCCGGATGCAATAACATCCTCCAACATATCAAAAGTGCGCGTACAGTTAAATCTGCTTTCCCATTCGATGCGTGTCAACACGTTACGTACGCGATGAATTTAAAACGATTATTTTCAGTACGACAGTGGATATTCGTCCAACCACAAGGGCTCTGGCAGGAATATGGCACCTCCAATGTTACCGTACATACCGCCACCAACATCTCCGCCACCCGATTATCCTGGTTTGGAATATCCACCGGTATTCGAACCCGGGACTTATTCTCTTTCGGATGCATCGTTGCTGCGCACGCGGAACAAAAGTACTCAGAACACAGGCCAATAACATAAAACGAGCCAACGTCATCTTTTTAATAAAGCAACCAAAGATAATACGTTCTTTATATCGACAGATTATAAACATAGAGATATACGTGAACTTACAAATAATAGAAGGTTATAGTATCTCTATTCGCTGCTATCAAGTATTCTAAAAAATACGCGTCCATCTCTCATTAGTTCCACAAATGACGTTTACATATTTATATAGCTATATCGAACGTATGGAGTATTTATTTTTCTGCTAATGTACGTATATTGAAGACGATGAGATATATTTTGCGAATCGAATCAAGTATAATAATATGGAAGACTGAACTGAATGTTATCTATATAATGTCGTCTATTATATAAATACTGTACGTTGAGATTTGTCTGTTTCAAAATAATTTTAGATTCGGAAAAATGTAAAATTTAATGTTGACATTGTTAAAAGTAAATTTTTTACACGTAAGTCAACTCAATGAGATTCTTGAAGCACGTTAGGAATTTATTTTATATATATATATATATATATATACACACACACACACACACACATTTTCTTACGTGCTTATATGCTTAATGAAGATGATAACCTCTTAGCTTAATGAAGATGATATAGTAAGTATGCTACATGCGTGCGTGCACGCACAGTGCGTGTTAATAAGGTATTACGTGCGCATATGCACCACAATATAGTAATATCTTCTTAATATTAATCAACTCGATGATATTATCATATTTATAAGATTGTAAAATGTAGCGCGTTATCTTTTGTTTATCATGGAACGTACTCGTCCATATATTTTTTTACAATCAACTGTTTATAGTAAATAAAAATCTCAACTTGTATATTTGTATATATATATTATAGTGTATAAATAATATGTTACGTTTATTAATATAAACGTCTGAAAACATGTATACACGTAGATGTGTATCTTTAAAAGTGTTATTAAATACATTTTGTGTTTTTAATGACACAGTATAACGTATGTGGTATATTTTTTATGCAACACGTGCATGGAAAGTGCCCCATTACGCACGCTACGCGTGCGTGATAGACCACTTTCCAGGCACTTGCAACATAAAATAGGGAGTGTAAGCCGTGTGTAAAGATGAAAATTCCCGGGTGCGGTTACCGCACCCGGGAATTTTCATCTTACCTCACTTGTTACACAAATAACTAATATGTACGGATGGGATGAATGAACCGCCTGTTTCGATAAGCAACAGTCACGTAATATTAGACATTACGTCTTACGCACTCGGATGTGTTAATGATGACGATGATGACTACTAATTCTTCATGTTTTAATATTTGATACATATTTTTCCCGCGGAAGAACATCGTCCTACCTTTGTCTACCCAACTTGTTTTCCGGAAATGTCACACCTCACACCGTGACCGTGGTGACACGTGACACTGACCGCGCCGTCTGGCTATACAAATTTTTTGACGCGCGACAACTGGAGCGTCCCGTGTGACCGCAGCCACTCAGAGAGACCGGTGCCTGGAGAATTTCCACTAGGCCAACCGATCAGAGATTCTTAAAGCCCGGTGTCCACTATGCTAGAACTGTGACCGAGTTTCGATTTAAGCCAATGAAACTGCTACTTTTCTGTAAGAGCTGCAAGTTGATTGGCTTAAACCAAAACTCGGACCGATTTCTAGCATCGTGTACACAAGGCTTTACATTAAATTGGCCAATTGGCGGCGTGGACGTTCGGGTGTCATTGGGTGCGTTCAGCCGATACTCCGCTAGCCTAGCAATCGTGAGCAGT